AAGTTCACCATATTCACAAGCAGACAGCATTGACAACAATTCCATGGTTCAAAAAGTCTACAGTACTAAATACTAATTGCAGTATTCATATGCAAGGGAAATAACAACTCTTTGAAATAACCAAACAGAACTTTAAAACTGCATGTTACCAACAACAACCTAATAAGTATGAAATCTTAATCAAGAGGCATCATTGTTTGTCCAACTATTATAATACCACCAAAGTGGTTATTTATCAAGGTACTCTGAGAATATGAGTCCTATCTTTTCATCTAATTGGCAAGCTGCCAAACACATACATTTTCGTTCTAGTGCAAAAATATAAAAAACTGATCATGCATAGAAAGAGAGACTGACCATTAACAGGCTTTTCCACAAAAGGTTTCCAAAAGCGATTCCCATGAACCTCAACAAAGTCATCGTCTTCAACAAAATAATCCAAATGTTGGTGCGGTACTTCTCTGTGAACGCAAGCATACCTTGGCACAGGGATTCCATACATCTCAAGACGCTGAAATCTCACGATTAAAACAGAAAGGAAGATGTCAAAATCATTTTCGTTTTCAAGGAAAAGGGAAAATGCAAGGAGTAGCATAACTTATAGAAGGTTAGATAAAAAAAAATGCGCCCCCACCAGGGTAGAGTTGCCGACGCAATTAACTATTTAAAAGCAGCTTTTTCACATGTAGACTAAAGTGGAGAGCTCAACAACTTGAAGCGAGAACAATGGGATTGGCAATACTTGGAAACATATGTCGAATTAAGCCTGATTCCTACTTTTGCAGAATATTCAGACAGATATGATGGTATAACCTTTTCTAACAATATCAGCATACGCATTGACTCTTATAGTGTATAGAAGACAATACATTTCTTTTGAATCTTTGTACATATTTAGGTGAGGAAAATTTTGTTTCAAAGTATTGCCAATCCAATCATAGATCTAGACAAAAGAAATTAGCCACAGAATTCTCCTTATCAAAAAAAAAAAAAAAAAAAAAAAAAAAAAAAAAAACTCATGCACTTTTCCGCTTCCCCTGAACGGCAGAAATAACCAAGAACTAATACATACCTCGTATACTTTCCTCCGATCGTGAAGAAGGTATTGCGGTTCCAATTCATTTACAAGGAAAGGCCTAAGACAGAGGAGATAATTGATGATCATAAGTTGTCCACAGTGATGCCAAAGTTTATATAAGTGTGTTAAATATTTCTTTCCAACATTTACAGGGGAAAAACAAGAGGTTATTTTTTTACTTTTCAAAAAGAAGGTTCTATTAAGATGGAAAATTCTCATCATTCCAAGACAGATATTTAACCTTGGAGCTTCACAACTCAACAGTATCAGATCTTCTTGGTCTTGGGACCTTGTCTAGACAAAAATAATATGACCTTACAGTTGTTGTCATCATTACAAATATCAAAATTTCAAGTTTGATGATCAAGTAGCAACTTAAGAAACGTCTTTGCAAAAGAAATTAGTCAATTACGACACAAACCAAAAGCAAAAGTCTCACGATTTTTTTTTTAAATCTTGCATTATCTTTTTGATAAACTCTATCATGCATTTTCTACTATCCCTAAACTCCTAATGAATGCTTCAAATCTGCCCGCCAATCATTTATAGCTTGCCAAAAGAATCAATCACAAACAACAGATTTTACACCAGAGCATAATACATGTTATCACACTTGAGAAACCAAAAGATTAATAAGATAGGATTTGACAATCATTTATGACATAAAAAACCTTAACCTTGTTTTTTTATGTTCAGACAGACAAGTCTTGTGATTTTATACGGCCATAGACATGGGCTGGACTATTAATAATCAGAGAAGAAGCCACAACACCAATGTTGCAAGTGTGATAAAGAAAATCCTCAACTTTACCTAAGTTTTTCAAAAGAAAATAAAATTTCCAGGACTCCTACAATATCTCGTGCTAGCAGTTACTCTGGTGATGCCAGTCATAGATCATTCAAAATAGATATTCAGAGGACGCAGAATAACACAAAAGCGAGCATGCCTGAACACTGAAACTACATACAGAAAAGGATGGATGAAACTTACTTTCTCAATGAAGCATATGCTTCTGCTTTCTTCAAAGGATATCCACTGGAGTAGAAGGCAATCAAGCAATCGCATATCGGCCAGCTGCAACCATGACATAATCCACTAAATTAACATGGCGCATAGTATATAGTGCGGAAGGAAGACAAAACGTCAAACTTAAGGCTAACAAGATGTGTAAGCCATCAAAAATACCTTATTACAAACACAATTTCTCAGGGAAAAGATGTAAAACTCAGTTCAACAAAGAGAGAGATTATAGAATACGAAGTAGCAATGGTATGTCAACGTTGTTTCCAGGATTGTACCTCTCAATTGGATCCTCCAGAATAACTTTGTCACCAAAGTACATAACCTGCAAGTATAAAGTCCTAGTCAGAAAGATAATACACTTTTAACAACAAACTAGAAATGCACTCTGCAAAGTCAGTTCGCCACTTGATCAATGGAGTATCACCATACTTTGAGTGATATATTTCCAAGAAAAGTACTTTTTAGGAGAGCCAATATCATAAGAAAAATGCTGAATCTTGGATAAGATGAATACTTAAAAATTATTACCAGGAAAAGTACTTTTCAGGAGACCCAATATTACAAAAATGAAAGTTAGTTGGCTAATTTAGCAAATGATTGAATACCTCAAATTCACCAAATGATTGAAGTCTTTCAAGGATCTGTCCCATTGGAGCTGAGAAGACCTAAATTTGATCAAACAATTGAAAAGAATCAGCGGGGGGTTAATAATTGCTGGTAAGCTAATAAAAAGTAAGTACAGCACTAGTATTGTTGGTGCATGCTCTGCAATTGCAACCAATCAAAACAATAGAACAGAACCTCGGGGCCGCATTTCACCTTCTTTTCCATTACACAAACACCAACTGTAATCTTCTTCTCAACAACACTGTCCTCTTCCACTTTCTTCATCATCTTCTTTTTCTTCTCTTTCTCTTTCACTTTCTTTCTCTCTGGCTGACTAAAAGCTCCAAGATTTGAACTTTTCTCAACCCCACTTCTCATTCTCTCTTTTCACTGCCAAAGCTCAAGAAACAAACAGATTTAATACACGTGTATGTATTTACATTATTTCGTAAAGAGTCCTTTTTCTTTCATGAAAATAGGAAAAAGAGTCCGAAACAAGTAAAGATATACCCACAGATTCAAGAATCTCGTGTGGATAAAGGAAAAGGAGAAAAATAATGAGTGAAGACCCGAAATATCCGAAGTACATGCAAAATCTTGAAAATCTTGCGAAGGCATTAAGGTACAAATACACGGAGTCACGAGAACAGAGAGAAAAAGGCTGCTTCAAACCGCCACCAAGAAAAAGAAGTACATTATTTATTGCTACTAATGTAGTAGTTACTATGGTATTTATTATGTGGACCGTTAGATATAACAAATCCAATAGGAGGGGTCAATATTGTGGGGTAGTATTGGATTCTGGAATATACATTAGAAAGTTAAAGACACTGGAAAGGGGACGTGGAAAGGTTTAGGAGATACTAATCTATAAAGATTAGTGGCTGCTTTATCCCTCTGTCACTGTAAGTTATAAAGGTACAATGTCTTTTTGTCTATCATGTTCGTATTTTATTAAAAAAAAAAAAAAGAGTAGGCGATCAACTCGAGGCTTATAATTTGTCATTTTGTTAATATGCAATTTTATGCACGTGATCTAGGCGTGGTATGTTTTTTGGCTGGGAGGGATCTTCACTTCTTCTTTTCTGTATATTTGGGATATTTTTATTCACTAATTTCAATTTTAATTTTTTTTGGTTGAGGTGCATTTAGAAATTTTGAAGAGTTACTTTATTTTTTAAATGGGAATGACGTATGAATAAGGAAAAAATGGGACTCGTAGAGGCAATGAAGGGCCATCACTTCTCTCCCCAAACAAACAGCACCTCATGCCAAAAGTTATCAGGAGTATGGATAAGTGGTTCAATGCCTTAGCAAACTTTACAGGTTTATTCTTTGAAAATGATGGAACTTTTTGATAGGGTCCTCCATATATAAGGGAAGATCATCTTATAAGTTATGATGATACCGAATATTCGTTTTACTCACATAATTCTTTTTCACATTATTAGACCAATAAAATAGAATACCTGAAATCCTTTGTAAAATTATTTCAATTCAAGTCGTAATTAGTTTAGAAAGTTATTTTCTTTAAATATAAGCGGATATCAGTTAAACCGTTCCATATTCGACACAACAATGCGCATGATAGTCACGATTAGGTGTAATAATTATCATAACTATAAGTAGAGAATGTTTCATGGGAAAATACTTATTGTATAGTCATTTCAAGTCTTTCGATAGGTTGCAAGGGAAAAGTTAAATTCAATGGTCTTTTTCTATTACTAAAATTTATTCTATTTGATTGATTCAATGTCATAAATGGTCAACGGAAAATGGGATTTCTAACATGGTGTGATTATTCGGGACCACAAAGGTTTACGCTGTCTGCAATTCATAATATTCCAGCACATACCATAGAGAGAAACCAAGTAGGAATGGGGTTTGATATTGATGGAACATTCCGGTCCAATTGTGATGTTTCCAATTACGTAGGCTAATGATATCCCAGTTAATAGTTCCGTATATCCAGTTAATAGTCAAAAGCAAAATAATTGAAAAAAAAGTATGAGTTGACCATCACATCAGATCTATGAGCGAGTCAATTTTAGATGGCAATTCCAGTCAATTAAATATGCTCAATCCAAAGACAGAAAATCTTATAGAAGCAAACAGTTCTTTTCTGCTTAAAAGTAATCAGACAATTTCGAAACATGAATTGGCCTATGTTAGTCGACACCTCCAGCGGTCCAGCTGTGACCTTAAATAGGTCCTTTGTTTTCTCAGAATGAGAAAAGTAGAGCAAGACCCGATTAAACTAATGAATTTCTTAAGATGTAAAATTGAAAATTATGGACGCCCATGGTACTTTCCTATCATGTAAATGCATAATTTTTTTGAGAAAAAAGCAGCATTTCCTAAATTGGTGTCACCTTTTCATCTAGATAAGTAATTAATGAGGCTAGTACCATGCAAATTTGGGTTGATAAATAGTAGACTGATTAGTGCAGCACGAATTTCATTAGAAGTTTATCACAATCCACACTTGTATACTTGCCCCAAGTTCCACACTTTCCATTGGTACGTGGACTTTTCCCTCAAGAATATAGCATGGGAAAACAACTGCTGGACAGCAGTACACTGTCAAATTCATGCCTTTGCTCGAATTTGAGAAACACAAGAGGCTGGTCAAATAGCAGGGGCTGTAGCAGGATCTCATGGTGCTGAGGGTACAAAACATGGCAAGTTTAGCTTGAAAGGGTGCTGCAGGCCTTAAAGTCTGCTTCCATCTAGAAAACATAGTTGCAGACCAGTTGATCTCTAAATAATAGTTGAATGCCCCTTACAACAACATGCTGTCTTATACTCAGTGATATGAGTTGTGACACACAAGCAAGCTTGCTCATGCTATATTAGGTTGTTGAAATCAGGATCCAGATATATCAAGTCAAGCACCTCATGTATGTTAGTTAAACATGAATGGGAGACATCTCCAGCTACAAACTCATTAACCATCCCATCAATCTCAATTGCACTGTACCCAGGGGTCTTCCTGAACCCTTTGTCACCAATCATCCTCCTGATTCGACGTGCATCATCACATTGTCGAGCTGCCAAATATATATTGGATAACTGAACATAAGCAGAATCTTCTTCAGCTTCATTGCCATCTTCTACCAACAAAATCTCTTTAACGGCAAGTTCTCCAAGACTAACATTGTTGTGCTTTCGGCAACCACTCAATAACGCGCCCCAAACTGAGGCCCGCGGTTTCATTGGCATCCTTCTAATGAGCTTAAGTGCGTCATCCAATTTTCCAGCCCTGCATAACAAGTCCACTACACAACTGAAGTGTTCATGTTCCGGTGCAATATCATATAATGATTCCATCTTATCCAACAAAAGCTGGCCTTCTTTCTGAAGCCCTGCATGTGCACACGCTGCTAAAACTGCAAGAATGACAATACCATCAGGCTTAAGTCCATCGACCACTTGCATCCTCTCCAAACAGCTTATTGCTAGCTCAGGACGACCATGGACCGCGAACCCACGAATCATTGTTGCCCACGAATGCCTGTTTCTCGTAGGCATGCTGTCGAATACCTCAGAAGCAATGTGAATACACCCACACTTAGCGTACATATCAACAAGAGCAGAGCCGATAAAAACATCAGATTCAACCCATTCTCTCTTCATAACATGCTCATGAATCCATTTCCCTTGCTCAAGAGCACCTAAATGAGCACAGGCCGCAAGTGCTGTGGTCACACAATACTCATCCGCACTAACTCCATGCCCCAGCATATCTTGGAAAATACTCAATGCCTCCTTGGCTAGTCCGCATTGAAGGTGCCCACTCATTAAAACATTACATTGAATAACATCAATGTCAGTAATTTCATCGAACATCTTGCGTGCATAATCCAATGCTTTGCAGTTGGTGTAGAACCGAATTAATGCTGTCTGTACATGTGCATCTGACACGGAAAAAGAATTCTTAACTACCCAACTGTGCATTTGCTTTCCCTCTACTTCCAAAGGACCATTAGCGCAAGCGATGAGAAGAAACGGAAACGTAAAACTATCAGGAGCCGCAGCGTTATTGGTTTGTAACATAATATTGAAGTAATGAAGGGAAAATTGGGGTTGTGAGCTGCGAGAGTAAGCCCTAATGAGAATATTGTAAAGGAAAGTATTGGGAGTTCGAACCTGCGCGAAGATTCGTGAGGCATAGGAAAGGTCGGCGGAATTTGAAAGGGCAGAAAAATCGAGGAGCTTGCTTACGGCGTAAGTGTTGCGGTGAAGACCAAGAGTAATGTAAATGGCGTGGATGGCTTTGAGTTGGCGCGTATTGGTGCACTTTTCTGCCATGGACATGCACCACTTCCATAATTGAAAGCTGTTATTGGCAAGGCTGGCTCTCACTTGGAGGCGGACATTGCTTAGACAGCTCATAAGCGGGCATTGTTAGGCAGGACAAGGTTCATGACTTGACTAAAAGACGCTAATTTTCTTTACTTCTGTTAAGAGCAATTGGGAGCACCTTTTGCAAAGTGTAAATCTTTTATAGTGGTTTGAAATTCACATGGAATTCTATTTTGACTTTTGAAGGTTAACGTTTAGTGTGCTTATTGACTACGTTTACTACATTTAGCATTGTCTAAAATGTTCTGAGAGTTTTCCAAGTTATTAGAGAATTTTATAGATAACAAGGTTAAAAAAGGAAGCAAAAGATATTAGAAGAACTGCAATCGCAGGGAAAAGTGAGGAAATGTTAGTTTGATCTCCAAATAAAGGAGAGCCATCAAAATTAAAAAATTTATGGCCAAAAGAGTAACATTCATCGACGAGAAATGCATCTACCGTTTTATATTAGTACTTCCGCTCCGAAAACCCTTTTATAAAAGGGTGAAAATCATTTACATCCCCCAAGTTTGTTTTAAAAATCAAACTCATCCTTCAACTTTCAACAATTATCATTCTACTGCTCATATTTAGGGGTGGGCGTCGGTCGGTTCGGTTATTATGAAAGTACGGTTCGATTTATCGGTTTTGTAATAGTAATAACCAAATCAAACCAAAGTATTTACGGTTCAGTGCAGTTTTTTCAAAGTTCGATTCGGTTATTTCCGGTTTATTTTTTCTGTTTTAAACGGTTATAGGAACAACAAGTATTTACGGTTTGTAGGAACATCAATAAACAAGGCTGGAATTTATTTGTTTTTCGTCCAGCCCAACGGCAAATTGTCATTTTGACTTTTGAGAAAGACAGCCCAGCAAATTGTCATTTAGTTGTTCGTCCAGCCCAGCAACAGAGAAAGACAGTGGCAGACGGCAGTCTAACACAAGTTTTGCTGACAATAACACTCTAATTTGAAACAACACTATAAATTAAACCGAGAATAGACTATAGAGAACAAGCACACACAGAGCAGGGAGGCCTTCAGTGGCATCAGTACAAACAGAACACCTAAGTAGCAAAATACCGCACAGTCCAGCAGTGGCAAACTAGTCTAAAACAGTTTAACACAATGGCAAATCTAGCAGCTACCAAAGTCCAAAATAAGTCTAGAAATACCATCACCAAACAATAAAACAGTGGCAAACTAGTCACAAGCCACAAAGTAAGTCTAGAAAATGATACTTAAAGCCTTAAATACGAATCACTGGATGAGGCATAAGACACTTCTTAATATGCTTCACTAAGCCATAAGTGCCATAATACTTTGGATGATAATTATAAACTCGACCACAATGAAGGCACTTTGCTTTACGGGATTCTTCATTTACTTTAACTAGCTCAAAATGTTCCCAAATAGGCGATCTAGCTTTAGGACCACGAGGCATAGTTGAACCTACAAAAAAAAATTAGAAAATTTCACAAGTTAATAAAATATTTTTAATTATAAATAACAAAATAATATCATAAAACAAGCAAATCTTTAAACTTACCACTTGTTCAAACTATGCATCAACAATGCTATTATCTCTTTCAACAATGCAAGTTTCTCTTCCGCTCGTTGCCATATCTAAATATAATTTGATAAAGTGTGTCAATTAAACTTACAAAGTAAACTAATTTTCAATAAAACACTCATANCCTATTCTACCCTCTACAATTTTTATCTCTTATTTTTATTCTTTAATATAATTATATTTTTTATTTTAATTTATATTATCGACTTACCTATAGAAAAATTTTAAAAACTTTTTCGCAACCAAAAAGAGTGAGAAGTAGTAGTCAAGCATATAAGTTAATGATGTTCAATAGTGAAATAAATGAGAAAAATAAAAAAATTATAATAAATAATTTACTCATATAAGTAATTTTATTAATAGCAATCAAAAATTTATTTACAAAACTGAGAATAAAAGAGAGTGAAAATTTTATAAATTATACAATGCAGGTAATAAAAAAATAATGGGCGTAAAATAGAGGTAAATTTTATAATTAAATTTGCAAAAATTATCAATTTAAACTTTACATGAAATTTAATTATAATTTTAAAAAAATCTAATAATAACAATCAAAACTCAAAAATTTATATTCACCATAGATAATAATAAATAGTAGAACTTAAAATCACACGCACACACCAAGATACATTATATGCATTTTAATATACATAATATTAAAATAATAATAATAATAATAATAATAATAAACTAGCAATAAATTTTGTAATAAATTCATAATATAATTATTTTATTTATAATATTAGTGAACTTAGATTAAATTATATAAATAAGATATAGTATTTTTAACTTATGAATAAATACCTGCATTAAAAAATATCTAAATAATATAAAAAAGGTATAATATATATGGAGAGTTGAAAATGTCAAGGGTAAAAAAGACATTGTGTAGGACGAAAGGATGAAAATGACAATTGTTCAAAATTGGAGGATGTATTTGATTTTTAGAGTAAACTTGGGGGATGTAAATAATTTTCACCCTTTTATAAAAGGGCTTGTATAGACTTGCGCTCATGAATTAAAAAACCAAGTAACATTGCAACTGCCTCTAGGAAAATAGCAGTGAAGAAAAATGTATCTAGGACATTGGGATAACTTTCCAGCTTGAGACATGAGAAACGAAAAAGGGAAATATACAGCTTCTTTCTCAAGGAGATGGTGAATTCTGCTAACTTTTGGATGATTCAGGCACTACCACAACATGCATATTCGCATTGTTTGGAGGCAATGCTAACCGAAGAGGATATAGATTCCCATTGAACTTGTTGCGCGAACAGACAGTAATATTCTCCAGCCCTGTTATTTCCTCCAACTTTTGAGTCAGTTCCTCTACTCCATGCCCTTTGAAGTGAAAAGATGGTCCTTCCACTGCATCATTTGCATTTCCATTTTCATCCGCCACATGGTAATATATTAGTCGACCTTCAGCCTTTACCGGGGAAGTATCAAATGCATCTCTTGACTGCAAGTTCAATAATATTAATAACACTCTGCAAGAAAAAGGCACTAACTTTTGAGACAAAACTAAAACTAACCTCACTCCTGGAATACTTGGGGGTTGTAAGATGAAAAGAAGAGCTGGAATAATCATCCAATGATTCTGATTCTGAATATTTTTCTGGTAATTCGGGCAGTATTTCAATAATATCCACTTCCCATAAGATCCAATCTTGATGTCTATGAGGTATATCATGTGTAATTGAATTTCGCCAAGGGGGTAATCCACTATTTGCGCGTAAATAATTCCCATATCTCGTTTTAAGCTTCAGGAGGAATCCATCTTTTATTGGTTCCCACTCAACTGAAGAATCCAATTTTCTAGGCAAACTCTGAACAACTTTTCTACCTGTGACACCTAGAAGGACTTGATCATCTGTGGCTGTTAGATATTTGCCATAACAACTCTTTAATCGGATGACATTTTCGATTTCTTCAGGGAATTCAATTGTCCATTTTGCATTCCTGGAAGTTCCATGGCGATCTTGGTACACGGTTTCTTGATCGGGATCAGCTAATAAGAATTTATCATGGTGGCTCTTTAGCCTAATGGATTTGGCTTTCTGAAAGAATTCCATCCCAGAATTCTGCAAAGACTGGAAAAATCATGCAATTGCAATGATCAAACACTGTTTTAAAAAACTGATTTTTTTAATCTAGAAATCCACCTGGATCAGACTCTTTGAGTATTTACAGAGAATGATCCATGTGGATGGATAGGGAAGAAAGATCTGAATAATTGATGAAGAAACAGGAGATGCTGAAAAAGGAAGCTAAAGGTATGCATTAACGGTTATTAAAGGAATGTCATATGTGATATGGAAATCAGGTTGAAAGGAGTTTACGCTGTACATTGGCTCTTGTGAAGCTGTCTTTTTCTTTCTACTATACTGTTTTGTAAAAATTCACAATAACAAGTCACTCGAAAGTAAATTGAAAGCATAATGAGACAAAATTAGTAACTTGAAGAAAAAGATTAGTAACGTTTCTAATTTCATAGTAGAAAAGTTAATTTTTTTTTTAATCCACTCTAGTCACTTTAAAAGTCCCGATTGATCTATCACTTTTGACGCAACGACCTCGATTGTTTTTAATGGTTTTGACTATTGATGATCTTTTTTTTTTTCGTTTGACTATTTGAAGATTCCATAAACATATTTAAATTAGTACAATTAAACAACACAGGGTCAAAATGAAATATTCCAGCCTTGCATATTGACTTTACCTAATTGGGTTGTTGACCAGTACATGGCCTAGTGGGGTGCTAGAACTCACAGCACAAGGCAACCAACCACTCATTCTAGCAGAAGAAGAATAAGGGGTCGTTTGGTACGAAGGATAGGGTGGGATCGAGTATAAATTTTATCCCAAACTTAATTCAGGATATCCCATCTTATTCCACCTTATCCCAATAAACTTATGATTATTTTATCTCATCTCTCATAGGGTATAAATTAGTCCTGGGATGATAATCCCCCGAGATAATTTAGTCCGCGTACCAAACGAAAAGAAACAAACTTTGAGATGCTAAAGATGTTTCTCCTCATTCCTAACCAAAAATAAGATGAAAAATCAAGTTTCACTAGAGCAAACGCTTTAACGTTTTTGATGGAGGAGAAACCAATATTTGCCGTTTTGTTATTTAGAACATGATTTAACTTATGAAGTAACATAAACAGTAATTACATTATTGGCGTAGTTTAGACTATTGTAGCATGTTATTGACATATTTTTTAGGTTACTAATTTCACTTATTTCGTACCTGTTTCACGTGTGCGTTCTCAGACCTTTGGGATTGGTAGGTTACTGCATTTGGGGATCCAATATCAGAAGAAGTCGTATAATCATCGAGAACAGAATTAAAACTTGATGCAGGCGATAAACAACTTGACACTGAATTAATATCAGTAGTATCTGAAATAGTAATATCCACAACTTCTACTCCCCACAAAACCCAATCTTGGGTAGCTGTCCTATTTGGAACATCATGTGTTATAGAATTTCTCCAAGGTGGTGTAGCTCCATTTGCCCTCAAATATTTTCCTTCCTTTGTTCTAAGCTTTACTTGAAATCCTTCTCTTATTGGCTCCCATTCAGTAGAACCATCCATATTATTTGTTGCAACAGTTTGAAGTACTTTTTTACCCGTCATTCCTAGAAGAAATGCCTGCTCAGTTGCTGCTAGGTATAAACCATGGCAACTTTTTAGGCGAATTACGTGACTTTTTCCTGCAACTAATTCCACTATCCAACGTGCCCTGTTCGACGAGCCATTTCGGCTCTGTCGAACAGTTTGTTCATCTTCGTCCGCCACTAAGTATTTCCCCAAGTGGCTTTGAAGTCTTACTGCTTTAGCTCTTTCAAAAAATTCCATCCCATTCTACATTCACAGGTCAAAGCAACAATGTCAAAGACAATGACGAAGTCAGAAATTTTAACAACCAATTCGAAAAATGCAAAAATGTCACACTTGTAATATATGCTAGAGAGTCTTAATTCATTACCTGTGTTGAACTTGGATGTGAAGAACGATCAGATGCAATGGATGTACAACTGTTAATTGACGAAACAGTGCGACGAGTGTTTGAATAATCTGTAAAATCATCATCGCCAAAAGAAGAGAAGCTCGATAGAGATGAAGGATAACTCTGTAAAGATTCAGAGTCCGTTACTGATATATCAATTACATCCACATCCCATAATACCCAATCTTGGGTTGCAGTTCTATGAGGTAAATCATGAGTTATAGAATTTCTCCAAGGAGGTGTTGCTCCATTTGCCCTCAAGAATTTCCCTCCCTTTGTCCTTAACTTTACTTGATATCCTTCTTTTATTGGCTCCCATTCTATTGAACCATCTGTTACACTATTTGGTACTTGGAATACTCTTTTACCAGTCATTCCAAGAAGGAAAGCGTCGTTAGAAGCCGAGAGGTAACGCTCGTGGCAACTCTTGAGACGAATGAGGTGAGGATTGTCTGCCACCATTTCAACTGTCCAACGTGCCTTTTTTGATGAACCGTTACGGCTTTGTCGGACGGTTTGTTCGTCATCATCGGCGACGAGGTACTTGCCCAAATGGCCTTTGAGCCTAATAACTTTAGCTCTGTTGAAGAACTCCATTGTCAATTTCTCTTACTTTCCTGTATTTTAAAAGCAATGTCCGTTTGGTGCTTATCTAATTCTTGTGGTCAGTTAGATTTAAAGGGCTCTGCTCTCTAATATTGAAAATACGTACTATTGAGCCAGTTCAAATCGACGACTTGGAAGGGTTGACTTCAGAAATTAAATTTTTTTTTTTTTTTTGGATGCATTAGGCTCGGTACATGTATCCCTCGTAAATTTGACTTTTCAACTTAGAAAAAAACAATACTCCAATTGGGGTTTTTTAGCTAGATTGTTGTGGTATAAAATTTGAAAAAAAGAAGAAGAAAAAACAAAAGACCATGCCGTTTGCTGAAAGTTTTCGTAGACCAAATCAACGTTACGGAATTATAAGGAATCATGCCTGTGATTGCATTTTAATTCAAAATTCACAGTCAGTACTATGTATTAGAAATCCAAATTATGTTTACCAAAATCAGAGGTCAAATTATGGTCGATTATTTGTAATTTTGCTTCATAGTTTGTCAATAATGAGCAGTGCAACCAATGATTATCATCTGAGGAACAATTAAAACAATAGACGAAAAGAGAAAAGATAATAGAAGTCCTACTATTACATGAATCTACTCATTTACTAAGGTTAAAAATCGTTTTTCAAAAGAATTAGAAGAGTGTAATTCAAATTTTACGGGATAATCCGAGGAAACAATGTATTCTTAAAATTAATGAATCTGGCCCCCTTTCAAGCTAAGTTTCTATAACAGTCTTACTATTCGTACGGTGAAAAGTACCACAGTAAAATTTAGAAAGATAAGTGGTCACTGAATTCCATGATTAGAAGAAGGTATATATCCAATCCAATAAACTAACTTTCAAATACATACGTTTTCCTTTCAGTTTCTCTGAAACAGTCAAATACTTTGAGGCTCTTTGCTTCCACACGGCAAATCAGTTCATAATCAGTTGCAAAGACTAGTCACGTAGAATTCTAATTTATCAAATTATATTCTAATCAGCAAACTTCATGCATACAATTTTAATGATTAACTCAAGAATTACTCAACAATTAGATATAATTAATCCATTAGGGCTATCGCACCATTGGCAGTCTAATATGGTGCAGGATACACCATTTTCCGTGCTAAATGTACGTATGTGTGACACCTAGATTTTCTGTTTAAAGTTCAAATACCAAACTTCCTTAAGAAGCGGATTTCAAAATATTTACTTGGTCTTGCTAAACGTAATCCCAACTAATTCAAAGTGTGTTTAACTTTTGCAATTTCTCGTCATCATATAGCTCCCTATAGCTGCCACCTTCACTTTCATTTTCATCCTCCCTACTTCAACAACAAGGGAATAAGTTTATACTTCTTTAGTCCATTTCAAAATCTCGATATACATAGATAAATGATACCGAATATCTGGGTCAAGAGTTAATCACTCTCTCGACTAATTTTGGAGATCGAATGACAAAAGGTGGGACTAGCCGGCCAGCTTGCGCTGCATGCAAATACCAAAGAAGAAAATGCTCTCAACAATGTGTGTTAGCTTCTTATTTCCCAGCAGATCAGCCCAAGAAATTTCAAAATGCACATCGTCTTTTCGGGGTCCGTAACATAGTGAAAACACTCGAGCAATTGGATGGTGACGATCAAAAGGCAGATGCCATGAAATCCATCATTTTCGAGTCCGATATGAGGGAGAAGTTCCCCGTCTATGGTTGTGTTGAGTGTATTCTTTATCTTCGCCAACAGTTACAGCTTGCCTTACAAGAACGCGAGTATGTATACACTCAGCTTGCTATCTATAGGCAACAACATTTAGGACTTTCGTCTAGTGAAACTAATTCTGTTGGTAATGGGATCAAGACGGCCCCATTCTCCTCTAGTGATAGTGAATCCAGTCAAGGAATCACATATCCTGATTTTGATAAACATAATTCATTGGCATATCCAACTTCCAATCATGTACTTAGATTTGGGATTCAAGAACAGCAAGAAGTCTCTCGAGACTTTGAGAGTCTAACCCTTTTCAATAGTACTCTGGTCGATGATAAGTAATCTTTTGTTGACACCAAAGAATTTTTTGTTTTGTTTCCTTTAATTAATGTTTATGGTTGTTCCAATTGTTAAACTGTGTGTGAAAGATTCAGATTTTAGACCTATGAATTAAGATTGACTCATTCAATATTTTGCTTGTGTTTCTGTCTCTTTTCTTAATTATATAGTATAGTACATGGAGATAAGCATTGCCTATATTTACTGCCAATTGAATCTGTTTTCTTATCCTAATTTGAAAAATTCAAATATAATTTTCTAGGATAAAAGAAGATCCAACTGTCCACCCCTAAGGGACTTGGAACTGGTTAGCTCAAACAGACGAAAAAGAGGCCCCACATGATTCTTTAAACATCTTTTTAATACTTTGTTTTATCGTACTAGTATATCTTTGAGATTTTTAATTTTGTTCTAGGGAAAGATATACTTTCTCTATAATATTATGCTACATTAGATCTGACATTAACTACTTTATATATTTGCGGGGAATTACAAAATAAATTTTGTGATGGCACTGTTATCTGATCTGATCACTCTTAAACAGTCACAATAGTATCTTAATGCATATCGTTACAAACACAGTAAATCATATTGCAAAAATCAATATATAAAAATATCTACAGCGGTTACAATTGCATCATGTCGGGTTAAGATCCCATAGTTCCTCTGTAAGTCATGCGATTAACAATTCGAGATGCATCATTCACTCTGTTTGCTTTTTCATAAATGCCAGCAACAACAAGATGCAACTCTTTCTTGTTAACATTAGGATTAGAGTCCAGCTTCTCATACAGTGTCTCAACCATCTCAAAATTCTTTCGAGCACCATAAAGACTTAGCATTTGAAAGTGAACTTCGTCCGAGAAAACACATCCCTCTTCCTGCATCTCTTTATATACCATGTCTGCCTTTTCAAACTCTCGCAACTTCCCATAAGCATTAAGGACTAGAGCAATCACATTAGAATTTGGAAAATATCCTGCTCCTCTCATCTTCTCAAATACCTCAATGAGATTAGTGTACTTCCTATTTCTGGAATACAAATCTATCATACACTCAAAAACTGCAATATCTTTCAATTCTCCAGCATCAAAAGCTTGTCTGAACACCCATGTAGCTTCTTCTATTCGTCCAGATCTAGCAAGAATCGTTATTGCAGTTTCTCTAGGAATATTGTCAGGGCGCTTCAACTCATGCAACAAACGTTTAGCATGTGCAACCAAACCAGCTCTCTCATATGCTACAATCATAGTCTGGTACAGAACCTGATCAATTTCAACTCCAGAACTCCGCAGCTTCTGGAATAACATAGCTGCTCGATCTAGTTTTCCAACTTTACCCCATATTGATATTATGGTCGAGTAGGTAATGGCATTGGGCTCAATTCCTCTGTTCTGCATTTCTTGAATAAGATTGTTAGCTTTCTCATGCTCCAGTGTCTTTCCATAAATTTTAATCATGGTGTTGTAAGTGACAACATTTTGTTCAATACTTTTCCTCTGCATCAGCCGAAACAGATGTATAGCTTCCCCGAAAAGCTCAGCCTCACCATAAACCCTAAGAAGAGTATTGTAGCTGACCACATTTGGTTCAATTCCCATTTTCCTCATACTCCAAAACAACCTATCTGCTTCCTTGGCCATATCAAGTTGTCCATAGACATCAATCATAATATTACAAGTTGTGAGATCAAGGGGGCATTTCACCTCATTCATCTCCGAAAATACGGATAGAGCCTCCAAAAACTTTTGGTTCTCAACATACATAGTCAAGAGAGTTGAGTAACTCACTGTGTCAGGCATAACACCTGCTGACATCATCTCTTTGACCAACAATCGAGCTTCGCGAAATAGCTTTGCTTTTCCAAACACATTAATCATGGTATTGTAAGCAACAAGATCAGGAGTAATCCCTGATGTTTTCAGTCTTGAAAAAATCGAAATTGCCTTGGAATAATCACACAGCTTTCTTGACAACTCAATCAAATTACTGTACAGAACAAGATCACCCGAAACATGATCCTGTTCCATCTTCTGAAGCCAAGATAAAGCATCATCAAACAACCCCTCTTTGCCAAAATGGGTAATGAGAGTAGAATAAGTGTACCTATCAGGTGACAAAGCTCTTTGACGCATTTCATCAAACAGCCCGTACGCAAGCCGCCACTTCTTTGCCCGTAGTACATTACGCAATGCAACATTGTACGCGAACACAGACGGAGTGTAAAGAGCTACTTCGTTGATCCAATCAAGCAAAGCTAACGACCGCTGCCAGTCAAACTCACGTGAGAGGAGCGTGACCATGAAACGCATTGAAAGATTTCGATTTTGGTAAGGCGACATTAAAGCAAACAGTTCGTGCTCGTTAGTCGTCTGTCCAATGGATAACAACAAATCATCCATGTCAACGCTGTGGTCCAGGTGCAACGATTGCTGTCTCCGGCGGTACGGTCGGTGGTGGGGAGAGGAAAACGGCGGCGTTTTAAGTGATAACGGCGTTGTTGTTGCTGCTGTCTTTCGCCAGACATCTTTATTTGAGGAAGTGGCGGACAGTGAAACGACAATGAAATGGTTTCGGAGTGGCTTACGTTTCGTGTAGTGTACGAGGATAGTGATTCGATGTGGAGATGATGGAATGTTGTAACTGGAAGCAGAAGCGGAGAACAAAAGTGTGGACATGGCACCGTTCACGGGGGAACATGGGTCCAACCATTTACATTAGATGTATCATATTCATACGTTTTATCCCGCTTAAATATCAAAGTGATAATCTATTCTATGAGGAAAAAGAAATGTTTTACAACAGTGCTCCTCGAGCGTCCCTTAGGGACATCCGATTAAAAAAATAAAATAAAATCGAGCCAATTTGCATGTATATCAATAATCATTATTCCAGATCAACACAATCTGCTCACAAGGCTATAACAATCTTTACTGAAGATCCTTACCGAACGTGCAACGAGTTACACAAATTTTGAAGAAGAAAAATGTATGCTCAAAACTAATTAACGGTGAGCCTACTGTGCTTTAACAACACATACTTTATACATGAATATGAGCAATGTCGGCTATGGTTGCAAGTGCTACCCGTATTAAACTTTGTGCCTTATGTTTAAGAAATTGTAGCCTTCTCTTTTTTTACAGTCACGTACATGTCAAGAAGTTATTGAATTGAAGTAGAATTTTATAGAAGCTGTAGAGATATTTAGTCAATGTGATCACCTAATTTTTGACCATTCTTTAAATTTTTTATCACCTAAGTGTTTAAATATTTGTTAAGTTTATTCTTGATATTTTAGCCTTTATTTCACTTTTTAGTAGGTTTATGTGATAAAATTAAAAATCATACAAAAAGAATCTCATTTTAGATAATAGTTGTGTTTTATTTACAAAAAAAAAAAGAAATTCACAAAAAATATGTTTTTTTCTTCTAATTTTGGTAAGACTAGCAATTTTATAACTTTTTCCTTAATAATTTCTTATATTTTTTAAATTTTAATATTAGTGTAGTATTTTTAATTTTAGATTTTTTTTTATAAAAAGAAAAAAGAAAAAAAAGAGAGCCAATGAAGAATTACCAAATGCCAAAAGATTCCATTTTATCTCTAGTAACTAACTGCCACACACTCACTTTCTTGGCAATTTACACTACACACCACATGCACAATATTGTTATTCTTTGGAAGTGGCATCCAAGGCAAATACACACACAAAAGGCACACACACATTGGCACTTCCATTCAGCTATATAAAACACACACGAGGAGAGCTGAAAAAAAAAAAAGGAGAGGAAAAAGAGATTTGAAAAAGAAAGGAACAAAATTAGGGCTGCTGCCTTCTCTTATTCTTCATGAGTTATAACCCATAAATTTGATCTTCCTTCCCTTGGCTTTAGCCATTAACAGATCCTTTCTTCCTCCATCCAAGGACCTCTGTTTTCCTCCATTAAAATGCATCAAATTTACAGCCTCAAACCACCAACTTACAGCCCTGAAAACCTCCCAAAAATCAGCGAAAAACAGCCATGAGATCCGCTAAAATTTGGAGGTCGCGTTCGAGGTCCCGGAGCCGCGGCGCTTCTGTTAGTCGAAGTTCTGTTCGCGTTTTTGGCTCCGGAATTATTGTCGGTTTTGGTCTTTGCTAGCTGAACAGTCATCGTTTCTGTACAAAACTTTGCTTAGAGTTTTTTGTTGAATAAGTTGGGTTTGAGGCACATACAAAGAACTGTTTCTACATCTAGTATTTCAATGATGTTAAATTTGCTTTAATTGGTATCTCTTTAATTAAATGCTTGATTTGTTTCTCTGTTTAGTTTCTTGTAGATATTTTCCTTTTTGCTTTGTGTATTTCATCTGCCTTTAGTTAAATTATTTTTGAGTATCTTATGTTTGGTTCATCATTTCCGCTTGATGTTGTCTCATGTTCGTTTACTGCATTTTTTCGTTAATAATGGAAATTGCAAAGTTTAACTGAATAATATGGGGATTAGTAATAATGAGCCATGTATTTGCTTGTTAAATTAAAAGGTTGTGAGATTTTAGAGTCTTGAGGTTTTAAGCTGATTGTAACGTTAATAGGCTGTGGGGTTTGGATAAAGCTAATTGGAGTGGTTTGAGTTTGATTATTAATGGACTGTGGGGTTTAGTTGAAATCCGAAGGAAATTAGGCCATTTATTGGGCCTGACATGAGTGAGGTGGACCATGCTTCTTTCATTCTAATAAATAAGTATCGAACGCTGGCATGTAGTAGACCAAACACACAAGTTAGCATGTTGTTAAAATTATCAACAATTATACATCTTTTCCCACAATAATATTTTTTCCATAAATTACGACTTTACAATAATCTCAAACTAGTTTAGGAAAATAATTCATGAAGATCGCTAGTATTCTTTAGGCGCTTATTAATAAATCAATTATCGTGATTCTGTACACGTCCGCGTGACATAATTAAGATTTTTCAAATTAAAGGTCAAGGTACACGTTCGCGCGACTTTGGCCAGA